CACTTCGTCACACTTCCAATATCCGAATGATATTGGTGCAACGTGATTTACAGGGTTACAACCCCAGAAACGGACAGAGTTTACCATAAGTTGGATACAAAGGTCCGGGTAATTATTCAAATTCGTCGACAGTGAGATTTGAAGCCCAGACCTCTTGCATGGCGGTCTGGCAACCTAACCACTACACTAAGATCGCCAGACCTGTTAATAGTTTAAATTTATTTCTTTAGAATTAGAAAAGAATGTATCTAAATCTCTAATCTAAAAAATATATCAATATTTAAATATTTTTGTTCTAGTTTATGAATTACTATAAAATAATAGAATTATAATTTCATTATTTATTTGTCTAGTCATCTTTTTGGTTGAAAGAATTTTAATTATTAGAAAGCTAAATAGTTAGTAACTAAGATAAAATAATTTGTTCTAAAATATTTATAAAAGTATTCTATTGTCTATACTATAGCAATATATTCTAATTCTGTTACTCTATAGTTAACTTCTTCTTTCTTGTAGCTTTTGCTTATATAAGTAATAGAATATTCTTTTCTATTATTTGTAGCTTAGCTTAAAGTTGCTTCAAATCTATTATAAAAAGTATTAGTTAAGAAAATAAATTCTTATTTATAATTAGAGTAAATTAGAATAGAGGCTGTAACTAATCTTTGTTTAAGTTTATTAAATACTTGTTATCATTGTTAATACTATTTATATTTAGTATCAAAATATAATAGCTGATTTAAAAGTTAAGTTATAGAAGAAAATCTTTGTATAAATCTTCTATAATATCTAATAAATCCTAAGAATGAATGAAGTTAAGTTATATTCATAGGAGGAAGGATATTTTGTATAGCTATAATCATTTCTGAGTCTAATAAGATTCTTTTTGCTTCTATAATATATCTTAAAAAAAGTAATCGTTTTATCTAAAAAGTATATTTTTTTAAGTTAAGTTTGAGTTTAGCTTTTCTGATTTTTGTAAATACTTCTTATAGATATTGAATATGATTTTCAAATATCTATGAGAATATATTAGTATCATCTAAATAGATAACAATATATTTATAGGCTATGCCTTAATAAATTTAATTTATAAATTATTAAAAAATCACAGAAGTATTATATAATTCAAATAGTATTATATTAAATTCATAAATACTATATCTAGTAATAAAAGCTATTTTTTCTATTTGCAAGGTATATTATTACTTGCTAATATCTACTCATAAGATCAAAGGTAAAAAAATACATAGTCCCTACAAAAAAGTCTAAAAGTTTATCTATGCAAAGTAAAAGATAAGAGTTTTTTTGTTATTATATTCAGTTTTCTATAGTTTACACAAAATCTTTTTTTTCATTTTTTTTTATAACTAATATAACTAAAGATATTCAAAGGCTAGTTGATTCTCTAATTAGATTATTATCTAATATTTGCTATACTTCTTTATTAATAAAAGCTTGTTTAGTAATAAGTATTAAATAAAATCGAGAAATAATTAGAGATATATCTTTAGTATATATCTTGTAAATTACTAGATCAGTTCTATCTAGTTGAATAATATCTTTTACAAAGAGATTTGCAAATTTTTTAAGTAGTTATTTTTTTTTTTTTTTAAACTTAGGCGATCTTGCTTATCACTTTATTAAGGAAAGCTTAACAAAAAGCTATATGATAATATACTATAAAAACTATACTAAGTTACCCTCCTAAGTACTGATCTAGACTCACTTAGCTGCCTTTAAGGTGCCCAAGTGTGATCTGCTGCAGTAACAATTTCTCGCATAAAAAACATTAGACTACCTGATAGCCTATTTGCTTCCTAATCCTAGGGAGGCTATTACCAGCCTATATCAAGACTACCTAGTCTTTTCTTAAAAACTTTTCCCACCTATATTCTGGCAAAATAAAGAAAAAATATAGTTCTACGAAGGGGCAATATAAGGGATGAAAAAAAAGGAAAGAGAACAAAAAAGATAAAAGTGACTAAAAATCTATATGGAAAAAAAAGAAAAAGTAACAGAAACAGATAAAAAAAGTAAAGAAAAAAAGACTATCACAGTCTCGATATATACAAACAAAAAGTAAGAAAAAAGGTTATAACAAAAAGATACTACGTAAAAATAAAAATTATATAATACTCTAAATAAATGAAGCCTTTACCCTAAATCTATTGTGTACTATAATAAAAACTAGTAGTATGAAAACCCTGCTAGAAATATAAAGGATGGAACACCTAAACAAACAAAAAGAGATCTGTACATGTGTTTGTTTATATCACTATTTCGTCATTATCAATTTGTACAAAGAGCTCACATGATGTTATCTCTAATTTGGTAGGTATATTTCTAATTTGAATTGAGTAAATATTGCTGATCGTTTTGAATATGTGAGCTGCATTGCCACTTTTTTGTAAAAAAAATACCAAAAGCAAAATGACAAAGAGGAGGACTGTATAAAAAGAGTATCAATAGTAAAGATTTGTAGGAGTATACGTTATATACAGTGTTGTCACAATTTTTCTATTGGTCCAATAGATCTATATTCTATTCTATTGTTCTATTGTTCTATTGACTATTTTTACTAATAGAATACACTAACTGCCAACTTATCAAGGTATTCTAATTTAGACCAATCAAATATCAGTTTTTCATAAAATATTATTTTGGGTAAATACAGTAAACTCGAGTTTATTAGATTATAATTTACATATGAAACTTTTAATGTTTTATATGTAATTAATATTTTTTTTTGAACTCTCCCTAACGGGACACCATATGCGTTAGTTATATTAAAATTAAAGTTTTAAAATAATAATGTCTAGATATTTCGCATAGAGATAGCTTACAAACACACAAGTCTGTAAAAAATTTTATAATATTGCCCTTAGTTTATATTACGTCTTCGTCCAATGTTTCTTTGCTTTTTCTTCTACAAAAATATATGTATGATAATAAGATGTGATATCTTTTAATGGCAAAAGATTCTTTTAATGAATAAATTCTGCATACGCTTCGCGTTCTTTATCTCTTTTAGTTCTTTTCAATTCCATGCTTCGTATCCTGCCTTTTCATCCAAACTGCCTATATCATTAATTTTATTAACACTATTTTTTTCATAAACTACAAGTTTCATAGTTTAATATGCATCCAAATGAGTACATAAAAACTGTGTATTAAAAGGCATTTACCAGTTTTTTGTGATTCTTTCTGAATTATTTCAGCGACTATTAAACGCGACTTTTTTTTCCTCTCTTCTAGTTCTAGCAATCTCTTCGATTCTTCTAATTTTTTAGATCTTTCCTTTTCTAGTATTGTTTTCCTATATGCTCTAAAAAATATTAACAATTAGCTCTTTAAGTAATTTACAATTTATACTGTTGCCTAAATTATAGCATGTACTTTGGAATAAATACAGGTTTCAATAATTTCCTCGATGCATGTTCTGAATTAGTCACATACTTCATACTCCAGTATGTTTTTAATTTCACTTTCTTGTATATTACAATGTGTTAGAATATGTTTAATGATTTGAATGACTATATAAGTATCATCAAGAGAAAACGTTATCGGGCTTTCAATTATATTTTGTACAGACATATTCCCTAATAAATTAAATAAGATAGTGTCCAGTACAAAATATAATTGAAAGCCCAGTGACAGGTTTTCTCTTAGCAGCACTCATATGAACCTAATTGATGAAAAATATAATGATATTATGAATACTTGCTCCTTTGTTTGAGTGGCCTGAGTTTTTTCTGATTCTTTTATGACCCTTAATCCTTCTTTTTGTATTTATTTTACTAAGATACTACCTCTTAAACATTGCTGACAAAGTGCTAAATCATCACCTTTATTCTTTACTTTTATTTCAATATCTTGATTCTTTTCTTCAAGATGTATTTGTTCTCTATTAATTACTTTAAGACAACCAGTTTTCTTTGCTTTCTTTAACCTTCTTAGCCTGCGGTCTAAAGCTTCTTTTTCCATTATATCTACCTTTTAATACTAGTTAACTTAGGTCCTTTCTCTTTCGAATTGCTCCTTTTATGGAACTTTTCCAGGCCAATACTGCAAATTTTTGACACAGCTTTGCCCTTCGAGTTTACGCTTCCATGTGCTGCTATTTATTTTTTACAAACTTTAGTTAATAACTTATTAAATATAAATATCAATCATAAATTCAGATATATGTACATGTCGTACATACCTAAATTGAAATCTGCTCAACATAGAAAAAACGCATAATCATGGAATCTTGCCTGAGTAAATCTTTGCTTAACAGCTCTATAAATTGACTGATTCCTGCAGTAAAAAATTATTTGTATTGTTCATACAAATGCACCAGAAAATGAACCACTATATGTTGACGTTAGTTAATTCTACCTATTTAAACAGTCCGATTGACAAGTCAAGATTTAGTAAAGCTACACAAGAAACTATTGTGGATTTCAAAGAAACGAGACTTGTAAAGTCACCTACATAACTGACAATCTGAACCAGACTTTGCAAAGCTATCCTTAATTAAGAGATTATTATAACAATATTACGAAACGCATAGTGGAAAAAGTAATAAAATTTTATACATCCCGTTAAGTACTAAATGTCAATGTGGATTCGGGTCCGAGTATAAATACTCATTATGGTCTCATTACAATGTTTTACACTTTCATATTTAAATTTATGCTCTATTAAATTGTATGAAATTATTAGAGAATATTGAATCTTGTAAACTACTAATTCCAAAAATGTTTTATACTTACACACTTATGCTAATGCAATTAGTAAATATTAATTCAATGATTTTTAAAATGAAATAATTCTAAGAAAAATTTTATACTCACATCAAGAAAAACGACCTTAATTCTTATCACAAAGTTAAATTAAAAAATCATTTGCAATAGAATACTAAACTAATCAATAATTACTTACAAATCAAAATTGCTTGTTTATTCAATTTTTTTTCATTAGTGCAAAACAACTAAGCTGGAAAAAAAAAAGATGAATCGCGATATTTTAAGACAAATTGCATCAATTATCTTGAATTATCATCAGTTTTTTTATAGATGAGGGTGTTGAAAACTCGAAATCAAATAAATTGACAAGTTTCCATTTTCCAGTGGGTCTTCTGCAGGATGTTTCAAGTCTACCAATAATTCATTTGAAGATAAATTCGCTGTTTCCTCTGTTTCTTCCGTTTCAAACAAACTTTCTAGTTCTTTTACACCTTCTTCTTCGAAAACAAGGCCCTCAGACCATTCTTTAAAAACTGCTTTCTATTCCTCACTAATATCTTCATTTGCACTTGATTCTAAATTGTCTTCAATAATCATTTTGATATTTTCGTTATTAGCATTAGTTTCTAATTCTATAATACTAGAACTTTCTTGTTTATGATTTGTTTGTATGTGTTCATGATTATCAGAACTAAATATAGTATTTATGTTTGCTGATATGCCTTGCTCCAGAGATTTTGCTGCTTCAACTGTGCGTTTATAATTAATTTCAGCACGCATTTGTGTCATTGAAAAAACTTTATCAAGCTAAGAGTAAAAAATTTTATTATTAGTATATCGATATTAAAATATGATAACGATAACGATAATGATAATATTAATTTATTTACTAATAATCTGGTGTGCCGTGAATTGTGAAAAAAGCCCATTGTTGAAAATAGGCGTTCACATGATGCAGAATTAATACAAATTGAGAATAAACGGATCGCAAGCATGTCTAATTCTTGTGTAGCACCTGCGGAAAAATTCCAATAATCCTGAATATCAGCAAAATTAGAAGCTATATCATTGTCAAATGGATATTCCTTTGACATAAATTTTGAAAATTCTGATAATATAATGACCAGTCAGATTTTAAACCATGCTTTATAGTAATACTGTATCCATAAACCAACTTGAGGTAAGTTTAGTAAGGAATGATTATTAAAAACTTTACTACGATATGCTGGGTGAAGAAAAAAAGAAAGAAGTAATAAGGGCTGCTCCCATTGATTCCACTGTTTCTCTAAGCGTTGAACCATACTTTTACTAAGACTATCTGACTGATTTTTATATAATTGCATAAAATATGCGAATGAATGAAGAACATCTGGTAATCTTGCAGCATCCTGTTGAAGATGATTTAATGTTGCCATAAAGGGGAGCAAATGTGATTCAAGCTCTTCTATTGTTTGCCACCAATTATTGTCATCTAAAAATTTTGCAATATTTTCTGGTAAATCTTGATATTGTAAATAAAGAGCCTATTGATTTATTATTTTTTAGCATTAGTATAAAATTATAGAAAAGTTTAAAATAATGTAGTATATACATACTTTTAGGGCTCTCTTATTACGAATTAATGAGGAAAAGCAAAAGTAGTAACTATTCCAGCGTGTATTTACTGGCCTTACAAGACAATAGTATTTTCCATATAATTTTTTTTGTTCTTCGCACAATTTACCAATCCAGTGAGAATGCCTACTATCAGTAAAATATGCAACAATACTAACAGCTTTTGTTGATGCATCTTTATATTTAGGTAATGACTTAAAAATATCAGCAACACAAAGGTTTGCTTGATGAGCAAAACACAGGAGAAATACCCGATCAGTATATTCTAATTGCATTCGACGCCTAAATAAAATTTTTTTATTTTATATTAATATACATTTAAAATAAAATTTTAATTATATGTACTTATTTACCTTGCTGCTACATATGCAGAAGCACTATCTGTAACAATGGCGATGATTGTAATATTGCTCATTTCAGCTTGTGCAAAAAAATTTTTAATTATTCCTATAACATCATTCGTTTTGCCACCTTTTACTAAAATATCTTCTGCACCCCAGACTAAAACTTTTCCTTTGCTAGTAATTAAGACACTTTCTAAAATTTCTTGAAAACTGGCATTTTTCTAGCTATCAAATATAAGAGTATTACCAGTTTCATTTTTTTTAGCTTCTACAATATGTTGGCGTTGCAATTCTTCACTATATGATGAAAGTATATGTCCACTAAGTGCACGATGTCCAGGTAATGTTATACTTAGATTTAGAAAGTTAAAAAGTGCGACAATCTCAGGATTCTCAGTCCATCTAAATGCCCATCCATTACTAATTGTAGATTTTAAAAGGTGTCGTTCAAAAATTATATACTCAGCTGGATTTAAATTTCGAAGAAGATAGTTATCTATTAAACCTTTTGATGGTTGAGATTTTGTATGTCATATAGAATATGTTTTAGTTGTTTTAGCTTTTTTAGTAGCTGGTTCAGAAGTAGATGAAGTAGAGATAAAACTTGAATTTGTAGATAAACTTATAGCTGAATTTGCAGATACAACCGTATTTATTTCTTGACTTTCACTATTTGACTCATAGAGAATTTCATTTCTTTCTTCTTCAGTATATTTTTTAAAAAAATTTTGATATTTTCTTAAATGTACTTTAGTACAAGCCTTTGTATTAGTAAAAGTAGACCTTTCAATTGCTATTTCTCTTCCTAATTTCTCTATGCAAGCTTTACAAACAGTGGCTTTGTTAACTTTATTTACATAGGAAGGTAAAACTTCTACATATAGTGTAAGTCTATGAGGAGCTTTGCCACCAAAATATTTCATTGTTAAGATATTGAACGAACTACAGATTAGATATAGTATATAAAGAATTACTGATTAGATATGCATATTTACAATAAAGATGTAAAACAAACTATAAATTAAGGTTGTAATACAAATATAAAACTGGTTTTTCTAAAAAAAGCAATTATTCTATTCATGAATAGAACAATAGAATCTATTCTATTGGTTCTATTGTTCTATTGACGTCAATAGAATTTTTTTATTGCTAACTTAATAGAATTTTTAATAACGTCAATAGAACTAATAGAAATTTTATTCTATTGATTATTCTAATTTTTATTCAATAAATCAATAGAATGACAACACTGGTTATATAGAATAGTATATTCTACCAAGTCTATACTCTTGCTATTGCTTGAATATAACTTGACAAATACTTTCTTGATTGTTGCCAAAGCTACTTTTTCAATAGCTCTGTAGACTTCTACTGGAGAGCCAAACTCACAAGAAGCAGTCTTTTTCAACTTTGTTTCATATTGCTCATATGCAATCTGAAACCCTTGAATCCAGTTACTACTTAGCGAAGTTTTGTTGTGTGAAAATATACCAACTATATAATATTCATAAATTGGCATTTTGTGAAAATATTGGTATGAGGGATCGTCGAGAAGAGTTGTTTTATATATTATGTTTTTTAAGTAGTTATTTAAATTTTATTTTTTAGTCTAAGGTTAACATTCATATTTTTAGAGCTATTTCTTAAGAAATCATATATATTTCTTTTTTATATAAATTATTATTAAGAGCTAATTCTAAAGCTTCAAATTCTGAAAAAGTTTATTTGAGTTACTAAGTAGTTTTTTATCTTGTTTAGGATAGTTTAAAAATTTAAAGCAAGTATTGAAGTAGTAGGCTATTTACTATCTACTTATAGAAATTGTTCTTGATATAGATATCTTATTTTTTAATAGAATCTTTTAAAACTATTAACTTTGTTTTGAAGAATTTTAATAGTTTAAATCTGATGTTTAAAGATTTTGACTTAGGCTTAAAAAAGAGTAATAATCTAAACTTGTTTTTTAATCTGCTATTATAATAATTCAATAAGTATACTTTGGTCAAGTTCAGATTGAACTTAGAGTTAAAAAGGCAATTTAGATTAAGTAGAGATATTATCTGATTGTAGTTCTACTTTAGATTCTTGTTAAGATTTAGAGTTTAATTCTTTATAGTATTTTTAGCAATATTCTTCAAATTGTTCAAGTTCTACTTTTTGCTTAAATATAAAATAATTTTTGCAAAGAGCTACTTTATTATTAAAATTCTTTTAAAGTTTTTTAATATCTTATAGTAGTCAAATTCAGAATAAGTTTAGTTAAAAGATTCTTATAGGATTTGATCTAAAATTCTTTGTTCTATTTCTGAGAAAGTTATATAAAGTATTCTTATGATAAAACTGATGTTATTATCTGAATAGTTTTGATTTAATTAGTTATTTATTTGAAATTCTAGGACTTCAACAATATCTTGATTACTTTTATCTAACTAAATCTTAGTAAGGTGAAAGATTCTATTTTAGTTTAGATTATATATATATCCTGTATTTTTTATAAATTCAGTATAGTAATGTATTCTGATTTATAAATTATAGTTAAGGTTCTATTCTATATTTTGAACTGCTTTAAATATATAAAAGTATGCTAAGTTACAAAACCAAAAATCTTCTTAAGTTATATTTAGCTTATATATTCTGGTCTTAATATATTCTTCTTTACAAAAATATACTTAGTAAGAAGATCTTGTTTGTTACTATTTGTGAAATATTCAATACTCTATAGATCTTTTTTAAGGAGTTGTTAGTAGAAATTAGTTTTACAAATCTTACATACTAGAGTATTATTAAGAAGATAAATATCTTCTAATATCTGAGGAGTTTTGTATTTACTATAATAGTTTATTCTTTTATAACTATAGTAAACTATTTATCTATTTTTTACTTTATTTTAGCTATATCTATATCTATACTGTTAATTATCTTTTTTGAAAGAAGCAAGAGGATAATAGATACTAATATATCTAAACTTATTGTATTGATAGCAATAGTTATGAAGACAGTTAGTATATTAATACTCAGTACTATCATATACTTTATAGTAGTTTAGCTTAGATAAGTTGCAAAAGCAATATGCAGAGATATATTTTAATTTTTTACATTGATTATATTGATTATTAGAGCAGTTTGCAAAGACATATTTATTTGAATAACAGTTTCTATATCTTTTGTACTTATTGTTTAAGGAGGTTCTATTTCTGTATCTAGTAGTTAGAGTAATTTAAGATTAAATATTAGTATCTGAATCTGTAGTTATTAAAATATTATCTAAATAAGCTTCTTTTTAAACCAAAAATTCTTAATCAAACTGATCTAATTCATACTATTTTTTATAGTTAGTTAAGTAAGTAAGAATTGGGTTTGTTCATAGATAGTAGATATATAGATTTTTCTGTTATTTTATTTTAAAATATAGGTATTATTTTTCTAGTTATAAGTAGCTTCAACTTTTTGAAATCAGTTATTGCTTAGGAGAAGAAAATAAGAAGCATTATTCATAACTTCTATATCTAAAGGAATAGTTATTCTTTTAATTTCTATAGAAAAGCTTTTGATTATTTTTAAAAATCTAATAGAAGGTTCTGTAGCTAATACAATTAAGCTAGAAGAGCAAGTATCTATTTTGAGTTCTAATTTTTTAATAATTTAGTATAAGATCATACTAATTGAAATACTATTATCAATTATAGCCTGATAGAGTTTACTCTTGATTTTAATATTGTATTTTACAGGTATAGTATAAGTTGAAATCTAAGTAGCATTATTAAGAGAAAAAGTAGCAAAGTAGATTTCAATAGTAGTTTATATTAACTTGTTAAAAAAATATAATTTAAACTATTTAAAATTATAATTATTAATGAGGTTTATAGCATAAGCTTCTTTGAAATAAGAAGTAAAGGATCAACTTCTAGATCTGCTTCTGCTATTATTATCTTAATTCTAATTTCTGTATCTATTTCTTAAATAATTTTTTTCTTAGCTTTTAGATCTGTTATTATATCTAGAGTAGTTATAAGATTAGTTATTATTATTTTTTTTTTTACTGTTTAAAAAAAGAGTTCTATGTTCCAATATTTATTTATTTAAGACTTACAACCTATACTTAGATAGAAAAGTACTATATTTTGTATATTAATAAGGCCACAATTAGCTACACATACAATTTTAGTCATTGTTTATTTAAAGATTCTACTCAAAGGTTACCTACTAACTGCTATATCTAAGATCTACTTGTGGATCTCCTAATTAAGCCTTCTGATTTTCAATACTTTTTCTAAAATACTAACTTAAATATATGATATATTCAGAACTATAGACTACTTTACCCATAAACTAGACCTCTACTCCAAAATATTCTGTGCTCATTTCATAGTCTATTCAGAGATTTGTACTTTTGTTAATATTCATACAAACCTAGTTTCTACTGTAGCTCTCCACTAATAGTTTTTTATATGTTTCATAAGAAGAATTTCTTAAATTCAGTTAGCTGCTAAGCCAGGTTGGTGTTGCTATTTCTTCTTGTAAAATGAACTTACTCGCATCTACTTGATTTGTATTTTTCATACTACTAGATCAAGTGTTAACTAGTATGACTATTAAAATCTGTACTACTTCATTAAACTCAGGATTTCTACTATGCAGGTCCTCTGCTTATAGATTCTATTAGGATTTATTCATATAATATTATGTCTTGTCAAATACCTTATTATACTTCCAATATCTGAATGATATTAGTACAATATGATTTACAGAGTTACAATTCTAAAAACAGATAGGATTTATTATAAGTTGAGTACAAAGGTCTAGATAATTATTCAAATTCATTGACAGTGAGATTTGAACCTAGATCTCTTATATGGCAGTCTGATAACCTAACTACTATACTAAGATTGCCAGACCTAAGATTAGTTATTATTATATAATCTATTTCTTTTTTAAGATTGAGAATGATTATAAGAGTGATTATTATTGTTCCTTCTATTATTTAATTAATAGCTGTTATTAGAATATAAATTGTTATTAGAGTAGTAACTAGATTGAAGATCAGAATAAGAAATATGTTAATAGTTTTCTTTTTACTTGTAATAATTTTTAATGAAATGTCTTTTACTTCTATAATAAAAGCAAGTAGTATCTTATTAGTTATTGCTATTAAATCTATTTTTGTTTGAATTGTTATTAAAGTAGTAAATAGATTTAGGAGTAGAGGTAGTCTGTTTCTTAGCAAGATTAATGTTTAGCTTAACTATTTGTTTAGTAAGTTGTTTAATAGCTTGATTAGTATTATTGCTAGTATTAGAGACTATCTCTTAATTGTAACACAGGCAAATTTGCCTGCATCCACTTTTAATTTTTGTAATTTTTAAAATAAATCTTTAAATATTAACTTTAAATATATATTTTCTGAATAGAATTAAAGAAGGACACTCTTACTGTAGATCACTTGTACCAAAACTTCCCAAAAACATTTTGCTATAACTAAATATTTTATTAAGTAAACAACCCTTAGGCTACTAAGCAAAATTGTTCTACACAAAATTTTGCTTTAGGATAGTCTAATTTTATACTTCCCAGACCTCTATATATAAAGCTACTTTGCTATAACTATCCAATAGCTCTTCCAGAAATTTCATAACAATTTACTAAGTTAATAGCTCTTACTCATTAATAGAGTTGTGTCCAGCACACTACCAGCTCCATTTTGATATAAATTTTATCTAAAATGGACTGAAACTCAGCAAACTAGCTTCAAAAAACTATTTTAAAGCTTTTTCTTAAAACTTAACTAATTTTTCCTTTTTCCTCCCTTACTTCTTCAAATCTGGAATTGGATCACGTAACAACCTGGCAAAAAATTACTGGTCAACCTCACAATTACACTAAATTTACTATTTTCTTTCTAAGCTACAATTAATTTAACACAAAT